AGCCATCAACACCTGGTAGGAGGGCAGCAAGCCATCAACACCTGGTAGGAGGGCAGCAAGCTATCAACACCAGGGAGGAGGGCAGCAAGCCATCAACACCAGGGAGGAGGACAGCAAGCCATCAACACCAGGGAGGAAGGCAGCAAGCCGTCAACACCAGGGAGGAGGGCAGCAAGCCATCAACACCAGGGAGGAGGGCAGCAAGCCATCAACACCAGGAAGGAGGGCAGCAAGCCATCAACACCAGGAAGGAGGGCAGCAAGCCATCAACACCAGGGAGGAGGGCAGCAAGCCATCAACACCAGGGAGGAGGGCAGCAAGCCATCAACGCCAGGGAGGAGGGCAGCAAGCCGTCAACACCAGGGAGGAGGGCAGCAAGCCATCAACACCAGGGAGGAAGGCAGCAAGATATCAACACCAGGGAGGAGGACAGCAAGCCATCAACACCAGGGAGGAAGGCAGCAAGCCATCAACACCAGGAAGGAGGGCAGCAAGCCATCAACACCAGGAAGGAGGGCAGCAAGCCATCAACACCAGGGAGGAGGGCAGCAAGCCATCAACACCAGGGAGGAAGGCAGCAAGCCGTCAACACCAGGGAGGAGGGCAGCAAGCCATCAACACCAGGGAGGAGGGCAGCAAGCCATCAACACCAGGAAGGAGGGCAGCAAGCCATCAACACCAGGAAGGAGGGCAGCAAGCCATCAACACCAGGGAGGAGGGCAGCAAGCCATCAACACCAGGGAGGAGGGCAGCAAGCCATCAACACCAGGGAGGAGGGCAGCAAGCCGTCAACACCAGGGAGGAGGGCAGCAAGCCATCAACACCAGGGAGGAAGGAAGGCAGCAAGATATCAACACCAGGGAGGTGGGCAGCAAGCCATCAACATCAGGGAGGAGGGCAGCAAGCCATTAACACCAGGGAGGAGGGCAGCAATCCATCGACACCAGGGAGGAGGACAGCAAGCCATCAACACCAGGGAGGAGGGCAGCAAGCCATCAACACCAGGGAGGAGGGCAGCAAGCAATCAACACCAGGGAGGAGGGCAGCAAGCCATCAACACCAGGGAGGAGGGCAGCAAGCCATCGACACCAGGGAGGAGGGCAGCAAGTCATCGACACTAGGGAGGAGGGCAGCAAGCCATCAACACCAGGAAGGAGGGCAGCAAGCCATCAACACAAGGGAGGAGGGCAGCAAGCCATCAACACCAGGGAGGAGGGCAGCAAGCCATCGACACCAGGGAGGAGGGCAGCAAGTCATCGACACCAGGGAGGAGGGCAGCAAGCCGTCAACGCCAGGAAGGAGGGCAGCAAGCCATCAACACCAGGGAGGAGGGCAGCAAGCCATCAACACCAGGGAGGAGGGCAGCAAGCCATCGACACCAGGGAGGAGGGCAGCAAGCCATCAACACCAGGGAGGAGGGCAGCAAGCAATCAACACCAGGGAGGAGGGCAGCAAGCCATCAACACCAGGGAGGAGGGCAGCAAGCCATCGACACCAGGGAGGAGGGCAGCAAGTCATCGACACCAGGGAGGAGGGCAGCAAGCCATCAACACCAGGAAGGAGGGCAGCAAGCCATCAACACCAGGGAGGAGGGCAGCAAGCCATCAACACCAGGGAGGAGGGCAGCAAGCCATCGACACCAGGGAGGAGGGCAGGAAGTCATCGACACCAGGGAGGAGGGCAGCAAGCCGTCAACGCCAGGAAGGAGGGCAGCAAGCCATCAACACCAGGGAGGAGGGCAGCAAGCCATCAACACCAGGGAGGAGGGCAGCAAGCCATCGACACCAGGGAGGAGGGCAGCAAGTCATCGACACCAGGGAGGAGGGCAGCAAGCCGTCAACGCCAGGAAGGAGGGCAGCAAGCCATTAACTCCAGGGAGGAGAACAGCAAACGATGGGGTTTGCTCCTGGCAGAGGAAGTGGTCTGCTGGGGTTCCTAGAGTTTTGCCGCCTAGGAGATATCCTCATCAACATGCTAGACGAAACCCAGAACATGGTATTTTTTTGTGCACTCTCGGACTTGTTTGCTCGAGTCGCATTGAAGCGGCTCCAAGTACTTGCAGAGAGAGTCTATCCAGAATCACAATGCGGATTCAGAGCTGACAGGTCCACCATCGACATGGTCTTTTCCCTCAGACAACTGCAGGAGAAATGCAGGGAACAGAAGCAGCCACTCTTCGTAGCCTTCATAGATCTGACGAAGGCCTTCGACCTCGTCTGCAGGGATGGCCTGTTCAAGATCCTCCCCAAGATCGGATGCCCACCCAGGCTCCTCAGCATCATCAGATCTTTCCATGAGAACATGAGGGGCACCGTGGTCTTTGATGGCCTAACATCAGACGCCTTTGACATCCGAAGTGGAGTAAAGCAGGGCTGCGTACTGGCTCCAACCCTATTCGGGATTTTCTTCGCAGTTATGCTGCGGCACGCCTTCGGATCTGTCACGGAAGGCATTTACCTCCGGACCAGGTCGGATGGAAAGCTCTTTAACCTCGCCAGGCTGAGAGCCAAGACGAAGGTTCAGCTGAGGTGTCTGCGCGACTTCCTTTTTGCCGACGACGCAGCAGCCCACTCAGCTGAAGACCTCCAACGGCTCATAACCCGCTTCAGCGAGGCCTCTCAGGCTTTCGGACTCTCCATCAGTCTGAAGAAAACGCAAGTCATGGGACAAGGAGTGGACTCCCCACCTGACATCGGCATCTCTGATTCCAAACTGGAAGTCGTTCACGACTTCGTGTACCTGGGCTCCACAATCTCTGACTCCGTCTCTCTTGATACGGAGCTAAACAAACGCATCGGTAAGGCATCTACTACCATGTCTAGACTGACAAAGAGAGTGTGGGCCAACAATAGGCTAACTGAGTATACTAAGATTCAGGTTTACAGATCCTGTGTCCTGAGCACTCTCCTTTATGGCAGTGAGTCTTGGACACTCCACGCCCGTCAGGAAAGACAACTGAATGCCTACCACATGCGCTGCCTTAGACACATCTTGGACATCACCTGGCAGGACAAGGTGACAAACAACAACGTCTTGGGGAGAGCAAGAATCACCAGCATGTACACAATGCTGAAACAGAGACGAATGCGCTGGCTCGGGTATGTTGTGCGAATGGGCAACGGCAGGATCCCCAAGGATCTCCTGTATGGAGAGCTGAGGCAGGGAAAGCGTCCAACAGGCAAGCCCCAGCTACGGTACAAAGACGTATGTAAAAGGGACCTGAAAGCCATGGACGTCGATCTTGCTATATGGGAGACACTGGCTGCAGACCGTTCAGCCTGGAGGCAGTCTGTTCAAAGAGGTCTCTTCAAGTTCGAGGAGTCACTTGCCAAGGAATCGGAGGCAAAGAGACAGAGAAGGAAAGCCGGTAGCCAGGAAGACAGACCAGAATCGGACTTCGTTTGTGCTCGGTGTGGGATGGACTGCCACTCTCGGATTGGCCTCATCAGTCACACCAGATGCTGCACCAGGATTGACAACCAGGGCGCAACTCCATAGTCTCCCGAGACTGAAGGATGCCAACTACTACTCGGATTTGTCGAAGGCAATCAGCCAACTATGAATCTAACCTCCCCCACAAAATCCGCGACTTTCCAGACCATCGCACAAGGGATCAACTGTGTTGGTACAAAGATCCCACCTTAATGCGTGAAGAAGGAACGTATCTACGAGATACAACAATGTTTCAAGTGCTACGAGTTCTCCCACCGTACCAACAAGTGTCAACATCTTGGCCAGAAGTGCAGCCTTTGCTCCCAGGACCATTACTTCTCAATCTACAAATCAGAAACTCGTTGCTGTCTACGAAGCAAAGGCGATCTTCCCCTGATTTCCTAGCGATGCCCTCGCAGACATGAAACCATCAAGACCAAGGCTTCATTTAAGAAAACCAAACTTTCCCCATCCACCGTCGGCTCCCTCAGCACCTCAGTGCCTTCAGCACTTCAGCGCCTCCAGCACCTCAGTCTCTTCAGCACTTCAGCGCCTCCAGCACCTCAGCGCCCACCAGCCAACCAGAAGACTTCTCAAGCCTACCAAACAGTGGCTCCATTCACCAGACAACACGGCCTCCACATTGGGGTCCTGTGGACCAATCAACGTCTCTTCAGCCCCTCACCTCATTTGAGGGCATTATCCCGGGTGTCATTCGCTTAGCAGAGAGACTCGCTGGACCAGATAATCAACGGTTCGTTACGGAATTCAACACAATCTACCTGCCTATGGGCTAGATCCCATCATTGCCCCTGAAGCCAGCCTCACTGCCTCTCCTATTACGAAGGAGACTACCACAAGGACGACTATGAGGACGTACTTAACCGACTCCAGCACCTCCCAAGACTCATGCTGTACAGAGAGAAGCATCTCCACTCCAGCTCCAAAGCTTCTACCATCACCATCTCAGCAGACGCGCTCCCCGACGTACTGTTTATGCCTGCTAGTTCTGACGAGGACATCTCGACAGTAGCAGTAAGTATACAACACTCACTGTGTACAAGACGTCCTCATGGAGGCCTCCTCACCAAGCCAACGACAGGACAGCCATGTCAACATGAAACAAGTCTAAAAAAATACGAAAAAACACAGAAGAGTGACACGACTTAGAACACTTGGAAACATCCACCTGCAACAAAAGATCGAAATCTGAATAAAGAAGCCAGATGAAGAACCAAGACTGAGGCATCTCCACGCAACCTAACCTCAAGCCCATCCGGTCCTATACGATGTCTCCCGCCGCCCAAACTTAAACCAGTGAGAATCATCTTACGCCAACCGGTGGTGAATAGGCCACCAAACTTTTTAGCCTCCTCTTTCCCCATCCAAATCGTCTTCAAGAATTTCAACTCCCAATGCTTCTTCCTCCCTCATCCTTTCCAAGCCCGTAGGACATAAAATCCAGTCCATCCATAAACTACATGGAGGAAGGCGGCAAGCCATCAACAACATGGAGAGCAGCAAGCCATCAACACCAGGGAGGAAAGCAACAAGCCATCAACACCAGGGAGGAGGGCAGCAAGCAATCAACACCAGGGAGGAGGGCAGCAAGCCATCAACACCAGGGAGGAGGGCAACAAGCCATCAACACCAGGAAGGAGAACAGCAAACCATCAACACCTCCCCGAGGAAGGCGACAGGAGCAACAATTAAGCCAAGGAGCAGTAGCAAGAATGGGCCCTGGAGGTGTGTGAGGGAGAGAGGCTGGAGGCCGCCAGAAGACTCCTCCTCCAACACCAGCATCCAATCCTTCACATCTTCCTTCATCTCCATCTTTCCCTCCTTGCTTCTTCTCTTCCTCCTGGCCTCCTCCATACGCCTGGCTCGGTCCCGCTGGCGGGCGTCCTCCAACACTACTTGGCTCCACCGTCGGATCAAGCCAGCCTGCGAATGGGGAACTATACATGAAGGTAAAGCTAGACTGGGGATGGGGTACTGTACATGAGGGTCAAGCTCATGTAGTTGGAACATCAATCGATTTCCAGTGAGGATTAAATCAACTCCTTAATAAGAATCAATGGTACTATCAAGTACTACTTATAATCTTTAAATCCTATATCTAATTATATAATAATCATTTTATCTCAATAATCTGTCTAGACAATGAAATAATAAATATTCATTTGAAGGCTACCCTCGTGGAGAGAGGAAGGAGCTGGTGGGATGAGGCGAGAGGCGCCGACCACGGCTCGAAGCCAGTCTCCAGTGTTTGTAAATTTTGTAAACAAACAGAAGTGCTGAGTTATCCGACTAACTCCAATATCTTTTAGTTTTCTGGCCATATAACTCTTTAAGTAATGGTTTATGGCCATGTAACTCTTTAAGTAATGGTTTATGGCCATATAACTCTTTAAGTAATGGTTTATGGCCATATAACTCTTTAAGTAATGGTTTATGGCCATATAACTCTTTAAGTAATGGTTTATGGCCATATAACTCTTTAAGTAATGGTTTATGGCCATATAACTCTTTAAGTAATGGTTTATGGCCATAAAACTCTTTAAATAATGGTTTATGGCCATATAACTCTTTAAGTAATGGTTTATGGCCATATAATTCTTTAGTTGGTTAAGCAGCATGAAAACACCAACACACAGGTAAGCCTGGTTTTACCAGTTACACAATCCTAATTAATACATGTCACATTTTATTAAATATAATATTGTCGCACAATTGTTACATTGGAAAATTCTGGCAGGTAACCTGTGACGAACTGAAGAAATCACAGCGTGCAGATTAAACATAACAAGAACCAACAGCCGCCATTAATACAGGTCCAGGACAAACTACATGTGGTGGACAGTGTCAGATGTTAGATGACTAGGCTATACTCTACCTAACATCTAACACATGGTTACTATTTTACTAATGTATTTTTGCTGTAGTACTAAAAATAATTCAATAGTTTATCACAATTATCAATTATTTGATTAATTGGCTGTGTACATAACCCCTAAAAGTTGTGTACGGGTAAACACCTAGTAGGATAACTTATAAATATACACTCCACTTTGAATTCAAAATAATAAATTAAAGTAAGTTCAATGAATCAATATTTTAATATATAAATATATAAACAAATAAATTCTTGCTGGGAAACCCCCCCCCCCCACATGATTAAGGTTCTGAATGAACCGGATGAATCAGGAGCATTACACTGGTTCTCATTCCCGTACGTTTATGGTTCTTCGAAGTGAGATAGTTCAAAAGCGAGAATATTATAAAATAAATAACTAGTGTAATTAACATATATAAATCTATATAAATAACAATGTAAATGTTCGTTTGTTCAAAATCGCTTATCTCCGAAAGTTCTTCACCGATTGTTTTGAAATTTTGACACAACGTTCCACCCATGTCCCCTCGTTCTGTTATTATTCCGTGTGAACATTTCATCTATTTCCACTCTCTCAATTCCCCTGAGTATTTTATATATTTCAATCACATCCCACCCCTCTCCCTTCTTTTTTCTAGTATCGTAAGGCTCAGTACCTTCAGGCGCTCTTCATACCCCATCCCTCGTAATGCTGGGAAGAGTCTCGTTGCAAACTTATGAACCTTTTCCAATTTCCTTATGTGTCTTCAGGTGTGTACTCACCTATTTGTGCTTGCGGGGGTTGAGCTTTGGCTCTTTGGTCCCACCTCTCAACTGTCAATCAACTGGTGTACAGATTCCTGAGCCTACTGGGCTCTATCATATCTACATTTTAAACTGTGTATGGAGTCAGCCTCCACCACATCACTGAGTAATGCATTCCATCCGTTAACTACTCTGACACTAAAAAAGTTCCTTCTAACGTCCCTATGGCTCATATGGGTACTCATTTTCCACCTGTGTCCCCTTGTTCGCGTCCCACCAGTGTTGAATAGTTTATCCTTGTTTACCCGGTCGATTCCCCTGAGGATTTTGTAGGTTGTGATCATGTCTCTTCTTACTCTTCTGTCTTCCAGTGTCGTAATTGCATTTCCCGCAGTCTTTCCTCGTAACTCATGCCTCTTAGTCCTGGGACTAGTTTAGTGGCATACCTTTGGACTTTTTCCTGCTTCGTGTTATGATCCCAGGCAGCCGAAAAACGAGTCTCCCCTTTGAGAATTATTCTATCAAGCCTGACCTGACTAGAAGGTCTAGGAAATATAGAGGTGATAACACAGATGTAAAATAGTTGGTTGGAAATAAACAATTTGAGATTATGGGCAGTGAATAAGAAAATAGATAAATGACTAGTTAGGAGATGTGGATAATTTGCTGGAGGCGTGAGGCTCACTTCTGGAGGGCTTTGACCTCACTTGAGTGCCAGACATCACAGGGGGAGCCGGGCTCTGTTTGAGCTCCCATCAGAAAGGAACCCCTAGTGATATATCTCCAAGAGAAGAGAAGTGTGCAGATGTTCCAGCTGTGGAATCGAGCTGGGAACGTTGTGGTCTCAAGTCCTGGACGGCGAGGAGTGTTTATTAAGCCACCCAGAGACATTATCGTGGACCGTGGGAGTGCCCTGACCAGACTGTCAGAGGGAGGAGCGCCCTCGACTGGACAATCTGTGGTAAGCACGATTTTTCGCCAGTCTATAGCGATTACTTGTAGTTGGTCATGTGCCCAGCGACAGTAGCAATGTTTATTGATAAGTTAGACATGTTTTGATAAGGCAGAAGGCCTAAAATAAGAGAGTGGAGAGGGAGGAACGTCCTGGAGGAAGGAGCGACGTCCGACTCCTCTGAGTGCTGGCAGGTGACTGAGGGAGCCCAGCACCTGACGGCAGGAGGACCCTCCCAGAGTGAGTGAGGACGCCGGGCAAGGGGGAGCATGGACCAGCCCAAAATGGGGGAGTCCACTCTCACAGTATGTAGAGAGTAGATAGATGTTGGAGGCAAACATATTGTGTGGATATTTTTGTTTATGTGTTTAAGGGGAAACGTTTTTATTGGTGTCAATGGGTTGTAAGATTGTCTTTGGGGAAGAAGTTGCTGAGAACTTCGAAGCCAGCACAGAGGGAGTAGTTGATGAGACTCCAAGGTAGTGGAGGAGAGGACCTCGAGCTGTGAGGAGAAGCAGTGAAGAGGAGTGTCACGTGCTTCTGTAGAGGTGGTGAAGCACCATAGTTGCTCGAGGGAACTTCATGGTGTAGCAGCCAGGAGAGCTGTGGAGGACCCTAGCAGAAGGGTGAAGCACCGTAGTTGCTCAAGGAAGACTTCATGGTAGCAGCCTGGAGGAGCTGCTACCACAACTATATTCTACCCACTTCAAGACTCCGCTCCAATATAGAAGCATCAGGAAATATGGGCCAATAGGCCCTTTGCAGTTACTTCCATCCTTACCTTCAATTTACCCAATTAATACCCATTGTTTCGTGTTCTGTCCTGTGTTGAAAGTTTTGTTCACCTCATCCAAAACTGATTGTAACATATCACCTCACCCAAAATGCGGGTATAAAATGAAAGCTGTTTAAATCATAGCGTAGTAAGAACTCTGTTTAGTGTTTGCAGGTTATAGTTGTGTGTGTGTAAACTAAAAGTCTCTGAAAACGTAATAAGTTATTACGAAATGCGTTCAAGTGTCGAGTCAGACTAGAAATAAAAATGAATTTTGGAGAATTGATTTTCCAATTACCATCAACAGTGGAAAGAAATATAAGAAATATTGAGAAAATTCGTGTTAGAGTTATTAATCTTACTTTTTCAGTGATGTTTAATAATATATGTCTACAGGAAAGACTGCTACCAAAATATACTATTATTAAAACGCCCGACCCAGCAGCAAGGAATCAAGCCTTCTCGATAAAATATCGCCAAGATCTGATTCGCAATCAGATACACAAGGCAGAAAATGAAATCAAAGACAACAAAACGCAACTACTTCATGCTACAAACCAATGGAGAAACAGCAACAATGACGAAAGTCTCCGTACTCGCGACGAGCAACACCTCGACATCCTCACAGATCGACATCACCTCAGCACCGAAACCAGGATAATCAAGAAACTAACAACGTTATATGGAGGACCTATGGCAATTCCACGACCAAGAGACGGCTTCCTGAACCTTGCAGGAATCAACCGCTCTGAGGACCAAGTCATTCTCCTAAATCTGGGTATAAACTGTCACGTTATGTCCAGTCCAAGTGAGATGGCCCGGAAAGTTGAGTTGGAGATCCTGCTGGACGACATATTCGACCTCGAGACACAAAAGAAGGTCACCACCAAAGACACCTTACAAGCAGAACTTATTGGGAAGGAGGAAAAAATCGAGGCAACTACAGAAGCACCATACTGTCCCCCCTAGTTCAAAGCGGCAGCTAAGACCCTTCGTGAGAACAAGGAGATAGTCGTCAGGAGAGGTGACAAGTCGCCAATATACGTCATTCTTAAAAAAGACGAATATCTGATGAAAATGAACCTCATACTCTCTGACCAAACTAAATTCCAAAGGGTAATGAATGACACTACTGCCGATTTGAAAGCAAAGGTCAACAAATTGATCGAAACTGTGAACGCCAAGAAATCCGGACTCCATCTGCCAAAGATTATTGGGGAATATAAACCTGGATACGCGTATGGAAATATCAAGACACATAAGCCTGGAAACCCACTTCGGCCAATCATCAGCCAGATACCCACACCCACGTACAGACTGGCAAAGCGACTCAACGGCTTGCTGACTCCTTATGTCCCTTGTGCCTTCAGCCTGAAGTCTCCAAAGGAATTTGTAGACTTACTGCGGGGAACACGGGCCACAGGGATAAGAGCCTCGTTGGACGTAGAATCACTGTTTACCAACGTACCTGTGGATGAAACAATCGAGATGATAGCGGACAGAGTGTATCGTGATCCGGCCTGTACTCCTCTTGACATACCAGAAAACTTTCTAAGGAAACTACTCCAAGCTTGTAC